CTCCGTGACACCCAAGCAACCCAACAAGGAGTGGGACTGCAAGAAGACCATGGATGCAATACTTGATGAGATTAAGCAGGGGAAATTCCGCAACCCCATGTCCATTGCCCAAATCCTCCCTTCCCTGGTTGGCAAGACATACCTGGATGTACCCCAGGTGTCTTGCAGCCCTGGTAAGGACTCTTAACAACGGTCTCTCTGTATGCCAAAAAGTGGCAAATTATGCCAGGAATAATATGTGGGTCAATTTTAAGTGGCATATAGGTTTTATGCTCAGTACTTCCAGGTAGGCAGAGCCACATCTGACTTCTAAGCCCAAAGAGTTGTGTGTGCGAACACACAGCTGCACCATCCTGCCCCCAAAATTCAGCCCTCATGTCTACTTCATTCGGCACACAATTTATTAAGCACCTACTATGGACAAAGCATTTTTGTGGGGTGTTAACGGAGAGGGAAGATCCTTGTAACGATCAAGTAACATATAACTTCATTCATTCATTTAACAAATATACCAAACATTATAGACTATCTTATCATATGTGCTCTTTACAAAGTCGAGAGACAGATATGTAGACAAAGACTACAAAAATATTTGGAAGAAGGAAATAAGTATTAAATAGGAATAAAAGCCACATACAGTGCAAAAGCAAAGAAAGTGTGACTGATCATCGACTGCCTGCGAGGCTGAGGAGAAAAACAGCTGACGTTTCGGTCAAGCCTTGGAGATCTAAATATGAAGGGTTGGTCCTCACAGAACACCGAAGGGATGCGGTGGGACCCTAGCACACAATGTTTTCATTTGAAATAGCTTTATTTTACTCAATTACAGATATAACATAGACATACTTAAAATTCAAACACTGCAGAAATATGCATTTAGAAAGTGGGAGTCCTGCATAAAAATTGATCACTCCGGAGATGACTAGTCCCTGGGCCAGATTCCTCTAACTCTTCTTTCCAATCAAATACTAGTATAAAGTATCATTCGTCTTACGCTGCATGGACTTCCTAAGACGAGTAGAGATTAAGAAGCTCCTTAACTGTCTCAGAGCAGAACCTACAAAGACCCTCTCATTAAGCAACCAGATCCCAATCATACCAGATACAGACACATTCGCCTAACCCCCGAGGCAGCTTCCTAGTGACGTCCCAGCTGTAACTAGGCGGCCATGGAGTCCTTCTTAGGATTCTACAATCGTTGCCCCAGAAACTGTGTTCAATGGCTTCAAACTTACCAGCTTTGCTTCCAGATTCTTGGAGTTAACAACAACAACAAAAAAAACACAACGAATGAACAGTGAGTACCATGTAACTGAGGGCTCTCGATCCTCCCTTCAAGTTACAAATGTTTTTCAACAAAATAAATGTTCGCTGCAAAACGAGTGTCAGTTCTTCAACCACGATCCGTTCTCTAGACTGGAAATGAGAGCTTCGTAGATCACGCCAGTTCCTCAGAATGATCTACAAGCCTACACGCTCACTGCCGTGTCTTGGGTTGTTTTCTGGGGTGGGTTGCCAACGACAGAGAGTCTGTGCCTACAAATACAAACCCCATAATCTTTAACAAATCTGGCCTCTTTGCTCTTCACAGATCATGAGGTACAACCAACTCTACCCAGCTATCTTAGCCCTGTCCCCACCTTGGCATCCAACATCACTGTCACCTACACCATAAACAACCAGCTGAGGGGAGTGGAGCTGCTCTTCAATGTGACCATCGATGTCAGTGTGAAAAATGGATCAGCGCTGCTTGTGGTCCTGGAAGAAGCACAACGCAAAAATCCCATGTTCAAGTGAGTGCTACGAGTGACATTCACCGTTCTACCCAAGCCTAACCTGAATGCCCATTTTCTCTCTCCCCTTCCTTCATCTACTTATTTTTTTTTTCCTTCTCACAATTTAATAGATGTTTACGTAATTGCCCCTTGGAGAGCCTGCCATCTCTGATAAAAAATTCATTATAAGTCAACATATGATATAGTTTTAAAAACAGGAATTCGAGGGAGAGACACTCCATTGTGGATTAGAATAGTCAAGGAAGCCTCATGACTTTGGACCACATCTTGAATGCTTTGTTCTAGCCATTCTCTCTTCCTAGATACCACCCTCTCGTGGCTAGAACAAAGCATTCAAGACAGGAATGAGCAAGGAATTCAAGACCAGTGAGTAGGCCAGCTTGATGAGAGAAGAGAATACAGGATTTAATTAAATGAATAATGTCTGAAGGATAAGCTGGATGATGGGGTAGAGAGCTTGAAGTACCCGACTAAGGAAGCGGGACTTCGTAGTGCAGAAAGGCACTGCGAGTTTTTGAATGAGCAAAGCCACGCTGTAAAATGGTAATTAGGTTTGAGAATGGGGGACAGGAGAAAAGCTAGGGAACCACTGCGGTGACGAAGCTGTGAAGTGATGAGGACTTCATCTAGGATAAATGGACTCCTACCAAGGAGGACTCCACAGGGCTCTGTAAGTACTGGATGTGGGATTCAAGAGAAAGAAGCTTCAACACTACTGATGGGTGTGTCAGGAAGAGAGAATGTCTTTTAGAGAAAAAGATGTAATTCCTCGAGACATGTCTATTTGTGAGTGTTGGACAGAGAAACATTAGAGAACTATTGGAGGTAAAAAGGAAGTCCCAGAAAAAGAAGCCAGGACAGGCAAAAGAGACTGGACAGTCGTCTAATAGAGGATGATGCAGAAGGTGGCAGATACAATGCTCCCAACAAAACCAGGAGACAGATCTAATTATTCTCATTTTATGCACAGAACCACTTAGGCCCAAAGAAGTTAGGTAATATTCCTAAGGCCACAGAATGTGTAAGTAACAGAGTTGAGATAATAGATTTGAATGACTATGAAGCTCATGTTCTTTCTATTGCCCTGTCAGGAAAAGGAGGAATCGAATCAGAAACAAATCACAGAGGAGAAAATTAAATCTCGGAGAATGTTTATAGTTTGCAAAAAGAGGAAGCAATAGAGAAATATGGAGAAAACTAAGCTAGAGGGGGAATCGAGGGAAGACGCCAGGTCAGGGAAAGGAAGAGAGGAGATATGTTAAAGGAAAGATGGCATAATCCAGATTCTGCAGAGAGATGGAAAGGAGAAAGATTGGCAAAGGCCAACGAATTAACCATTGAGCGACACGTGGGATCTATTCCGCAGGGTTAGGTTAAGTCATGTGTCTGCTGCCCACAGCCTGGCTCCATAACTTGCCTAATTTCTATAGACAAGTCAGGATAAAACTCACATTTCAAGAAAACTTCATTTTCAAACAACCCTCTGAATATACTTTACTTCTTTGAGCTTAGCTTTAATTTGGCCTGATTTTTCTTTTTTCTGGCTGTAAATGTAACAAATACACATAGTAGAAATTTTGAGGGGGAAAAAGCATAAAGAAGAAAACAAAGCCTCTACAATCCGTCCACAGTATAATCACTGTTGCTATTTTTTATAGTTTTGTAGGTGTTTTTCTCTATGCATATTACAAATCGTTATGATCTATCATATACGTGGGATAGACAGATTTCATATAAAATTTGTATCCCACATTTTCACTTAACATTATTGCATAAGCATTTTTCCATGTAACTGAAAATTGTTGAAAAATATGATTTTCATACCTACAAAATATCCAATGTTGGATATTCATTCCATCACTCACCTAATTATTTGCCCATTGTTGGACATTTAGTTTTTAAATTTGCTTACTGATAGTTTTCTTTTAAACCTATTTCTTTTAACTTCATTTCATTCCAAGTGATTTCATATTTATTAGTCATTTGCATTTTCTCTTTAAGCATTGTTTTATTTGATCTTTAAAGCATTTAAATGTCTCTTGCCCTTCATAGTAACCCCTTCTTGCCTGACCTAAGGTGAGGTATTAATCATGTATGATTTTATTCTTACAGATTTGAAACCACGATGACATCCTGGGGCCTTATGATCTCTTCTATCAATAATATTGCTGAAAATAATAATCAAAATACGTATTGGCAGTTCCTTAGTGGCAAGACACCTCTGAGTGTAGGTGAGAGGAAGAAAGATATGTGGGCATTTCCTCCAGACTGAGAAGGCTACGTTCTTTTGTTTCTTTATTTAATTAATTCATTTAGTCGATAAGTAACTGTGAGATTGTATGTGTATATATACAATAATGATGTATACAGTGGTTATATATATATATACATATACAAATATATTATGAATATATAGTGATTAGATAGATGATAGATGGTTGATAAAAGATAATAGATAAATGGATAGATGGATGGATAGGTGATAGATAGATAGATAGATAGATAGATAGATAGATAGATAGATAGAAAGAATAAGTGGCTATCTAAAATAGATTTTTAAAAAATATAAAACTCTGACTCCACGCTGAGCCTGTCAAGGAAAGTGGATTGATCTACTTAAAACGATAAGGACTGAAGAAGGAAAGAGCAAATAATGTTAACAAAACTAACAAACAAAAACGATGGAAAAAGTAGTATGTGAGCTAAAAAGATGGCCACTTTGGGATTAAAAAAATTACATGTATAACACAAAAGCACAGTTAATTCCTAGCCAGTGGAAACGAATATGAGGGGTGAGAATGATAGCTATTTGTGTAGTGCTGTTACTTGTTCTTATGCCATACACCAACTCTGTGGGTATCAGCGACTCTCTTCATACAGAGAAAGGAACCAAGTCTTAGAGACACAAAAGGGACTTGTCCAAGGCACACGTCTAGCGTGTGGCAGAGCAGAGAGTCAAGCCCAGGATGAGTGGGTTTTCTGCAATGGCTTCATACAACGTTCATTCTTCACCTTCTTTTGCTGTACTATTTTGTTTTTAAAATCTCCAAAGAGAGGAACGTTTATATGTGTATTTCGTGTGGGGAAAAGTGGGAAGAATCGGGAAACCTTTAACATTCTTTCAATTTTTTGCACAAAAACTAAAAGGCACTCCGACTTAAAAGGGCGGCGGTGTGTGGTTTTGTCTAAGGATGATGTTACCCAGTTAATCTGATGGTAATCATCACCAAGCATTCTGGCCAGTCGGGATGCGTGGAACTGCAGCAAAGCATGTAATAAGGATCTCAGAGTCACGTGGGCCTTGCTTAGACGCTCCTTTTCTTATTTGCCAGTTGCATTAGGCCAGTAATCGATCTTCTCTGAGCCAGTTTCCACAGCCATAAAATGGAAATAGTAAGAACCATTTCTTGGGATATCGTGAGGATTAGAAATAATGTGTTTAAAATGAGTATGTACAATGTCTTTTGCATAGCATGTGTTAAAAAATGCTAAGTCATTATTATCATTAGTTCTCCTACTACCTTCATCTCAAGAATTAATTGCTTTGGGAATGTAAAGCACGTTTATTCTCATGTCTGCCAATTACTTTTCTTCTCTGAAGAAAGTAATGGTAAACAGAAAAGCCTCTGAGATCCAAAAAGATTTGGGCCTGGAATTGTCATTCTGATGCCTGGCTACTTGAAAGCTGGTTATTGATATCGTCACCATTTATCTTTCCTGAAAAGACAAGAATTCTCATTCCACGGCCCTTCCTTATTTCTTATAAAATCTTCAAAAGTGAACTTGAGCTCCTACCTTGAATGTTCTAACATTAGCTTAAATAAGCCATTTGAATAATAACCACCATTTATTGCACACTTGTTATGTGTCAGGTACTGTATTAGGTGCCTGGAAGTCATTATTTGTAATCCTGAAAATAATTCTTCGGGGTAAATATTATTAGTGCAATTGTACAAATGAGGAAAAGGAGCCTCACACAATTTAAGGAGCTTGCCCAGACATGTCCACATGGCCACTTAGGGCCTGGAAACAAGAAGTCCCTAAATCTCAAATCTTTGCATGCCCCTTCCATACTCACAAGCTGTCCGCTTCACCCCACAATGATTTACCTCCTCTAACGATGGGCTGATGCTTTGGGAGTGCGGGTGGGGGGGGGGGGGTTATATCACCATGGTTACCTTGCGTTACTCTCCGCTCGTTTCCAGGAGTTGCTGCCTACATACCTTTCAACCATGAGCACATCACAGCCAATTTCACACGGTACTAAGGATAAGGTGGGTCCAGATCCTAGTGGACATCTCCAAAGGACGGGCAGAACTTTTTCACATCATTTCAAATCCATGCAAAATAGTGGACATCTATGGCGGTACCAAGTTCCTGGTAAAAACATTATGGAAACCATTATGCAGAATAAATGATGCAAATCTCTCTTAAGTCTCAACATCTTTGACCCATGGGGGAAAAAAAAAGTCTGACTTCTCAAGGTAATGACTGCCAGTCATCATTTAAAACTAGGGCGACTGGAGATGGGAGAGCCCAGCTGACAGTTTTGGAGACTGTTCTGATCTTGATTAAGTAACCAACACACTCCTGTATTTCTATAAATGAAATGATATATTTTTAAAACTCTTATTTTGTTTCTGATACCAAGAACTCCTTTTCAAATCACTTAGTGTAAACATATACATATACATATAATATATACACACAAACACACACACATACACATACCTATGTACAAATATACAGAAAATGGCCAAAATTACTTCATATGAGACCCCCAAATCATTCAAAATTAGGTAAATGATGTTATGTCATAACTCTCCCCTTCTATTTCCAATATTTGTTCGGGGTAAAATCAAGTTTAAATGTATATTTTATATAACTTATATATAAATGTTTAATATGTAAATATAATTTGTATTTAATGTGTAGTATAAATTTTAATATATTTATTATTAGATGTAGATCTACATCTATAGACCCACCTCACATATATATTATATATAATTTTCATATACTAAATGTAGACCTATAAACCCACTATATATGTATATATGACACTTTTAAGCTTTCGAAGACAATCATAACTCTAATCTCTACTGGCAGGAGTCAACACTGGCACAAACTTTCTAGAGGATATAAAAATTTCTATCAAATTACCTAAAATATACTCATCTTTGACCCACCCCTCCTCCCAAAAAAATCTCAATTCTGAAAGTTATACAAACGGAGAATCCTAAGAGGACACACAGGATCAAAAGGTCTGCTGGGACACTTAGAGAACTGCCTCTGTACACTTCCTAAGGCTGAACCCCAGAAGCAGACAGGCCTAACGGCCCTGTCACAGGTCACCCCTCCTGGCATCTCAGAGCAAGAACCGTCTCTTTGATAAACAGTATGGCTTCCAGGAGAGAGAGCTGTAACCCACACAGGCCCAGGTCCCCATCCCAAACATATTTTAGGTCAGTCGTGGTACCTCAGAAAAAGGACTGTTACTGTAATGGAAGGAACTCTTATGAAATGGTGAATATGTGCTCTCTCGTAACATATGTTTATAACGTGGAAAAATGGGAACAATCTATATGTCCAACAGGAGGACAGTGGATAGGTAAACCCTGGTGGATCCATAGGATGGGGTACTTAAAAGTCACTAAAATTCAGGTTGAAAATAAACACCCGCTGACACGAGAAGGCCTTCGTGTGAAGGAAGCGGACGACACAGTACTGGAATGTCATCCACGCCAGAGCGTTAAAGTGGTCATCTCTGCGTGACAGAATTATTGGTGACTGGTTTTGTTTGTTTGCTTCTCTGTTGTCTGTTTTTTTCCATTCAACACATAATCCTTAAGCACCTGGAAAATTGGAATTTTAAACTAAAATTATTTTTTTTTAGTTTAACATAAATTGGGCAACGCAAGGAACATGTGTGTGTGTAAAAGAATCCCACCCTCCAAGTCTTGCTCTAATGACAGAAATTGGAGAAATAAGAGCAGTATGGGAGACACAAAGAAGGGGGATCACAGGTTGGTTTCATGCATGAACACATCATTTTAGCTACCTGCCTAATAATTAACGGTGTGGTCATCTGTACTGGCAGGATTGGGGGACAGAGGAGTGAGGCTGACATTGGATCTGCTGTGACAAGTTGCAATTCTGCTATGAGAAATGCCTTAATGAAATGAAGCCTGTCTCATTATTGCGTAAGGCATAATAACACCCAAGACTGAATTCAGTCAAGGTTTCAATGACTATAATATGCGCTTTTGTGACCTCTACTGGCCATGGCTGTTAAAGCCTAAACTTGCTTTAGGGGCGTGTTTGATTATGAATATTTGTGACCATGCAGGAGAGAAAGGATGGAAGATTGCTACCAAATACTTTTCCCCCATTTAAAAAATTGTGTGCAATTGTATTTGCCTTTAACCAGACAGATGAATGACCGATAGCAAGTACACGACTGAAGCTAACACACCGATAAGGAAGTGGAACTAAATACAAGATTCCTGTAGCCTCTACCAACCAACACCCTATCTTTCTTTGAAATAGCAAAGAATTTTGCTCAGACGTGTAAATGGTTCTGAGATTTAAAAAAGAAAAAGAAGAACAAGAATTTTGACCAAGAAAATACAAATGGAAAGAGAGAGCGAATGGAACATAACGATTCTAAATTTTATCTTGAAGACCAAATATGCAAAATACAACCGCCATGTTTTTTGTCAAGTGAACTTGACCAAACATATATAAAAATATGTAATAAAGTGGCAATCATTAGAACAGTATAGCACTGGTTTCAGATCAGGGAGAACATGGGAATGGAATAAAATGTCAAAAGGAACCAAAAAAAATTGTGTAGGAATTTAGTACATTATAAAGTCGCATATTAAATGAGGATTTTCAACTTGGAAAAAGAATTATGTTAGAGCCCTACTTTTGGCCTTTCAAGCATATTACCAGAGTCAAAAACTCTTAAGAAAATTACTGGCAAATTTTGCTGTAAAAAATTATAAATGGTCATATTTCAAAAAAATTAAAGAACACACTAAAAAACGAAAAAAATAACTGAAACATAAACAATTAAACAAGAGTTAATAATCTTAATATATTACAAGCAGTTTTGAATTGGTAAGAAAAAATGAACAGTATGATTGAAAAATAGACAAAGTATACAAGCAAGTAAATAACACGTGCAGAAAAAGACAAAAGTATGTGAAGCCAAAGATATAAGAAAAAGTTCAACATCATTAGTCTTTTAAAAATGCAAACTAACTATAACCACTATGCAAATTATATTAAGTAGGACTCAGAGAATGCTATCAGAAACCAACTTAATTTACCCAGCTACTGTTTATCCAAACTAACCCAGTAAGGCTAGTTATTTGCATTTTCTCATTACTCTGATTTAGGGGAAAAAAAAAAAATTGTTGTCACTTATAGTCACAGAAAACATTTTGATGTCAGTAACTAAAACGTCCAGTACTGTGTAACAGTCAAAACTCGGAATTCCATTTAAAGGCAAAATTGCTCCTCACCCTCAGCTCAGTCTTGCTCCAGACAGAGATAATGGAAAGAAAAGGGGCGGGGAGGAATCGGGGAAAGATGTCTTTATTTCCTCACTTTGCACTTTTACCAGTCAAGCAAGATCTTTCCTGCCCCCGATCTCTCTCCTGTTTCTGACCACTCTGGGATATCTAACTGGCATGGCTCCTGTTACAGGTTAAATTGTGTCCCACTTTCCCCCACCAAAATATATGTTGGAATCCTAACCCCCAGCACTTCAGAATGTATCCTTATTTCGAAAAGGGGTCTTTACAGAGGAAATCAAGTTAAATGAGGTAATTAGCGTGGACCTTAATGTAACAGGACCAGTGTCCTTAGGAAAGGAGGAATTTTGGACACATGGACAGACGTGCACAGAGAAAAGACATGTGAGGAGACACAGAGAAGGCGGCCATCTGCAAACCAAGGAGAAAAGTTAGGGAGAGATCCTTTCTCGAAGCCCTCAGAAGGAACTAAGTCTGTTATCACCTTGATTTCAGACTCCTAGCCTCCAGAACTGTGAGGCAATAAACTTGTTGTTTAAACCACAGTCTGAGGTACTTTGTTACAGTAGCCCTAGCAAACTAGTAGAGTATCCCTCAGTAATTGGGTCCTAGAAACTTCAAAAAAGATCCTCTCTGTTTGCAGCCTGGAAAAAGATCCAACTGCTTGCAAAGGTAACAGGAAAGCGGACCTTGCGATCACCAGACTGAAATTTAAAAGCGGACCTTGCGATCACCAGACTGAAATTTAAAGACATTCTTTAGAATTAACATCACTGTGTTAGTTTATCTGCACCTATATATTCCTTCTATTCACGTAATTAATAATACCCCTTCCCTTTCTCACAAATACCCCCTGCCCTCACCTCCTAATCTGTACCCTATTTGGGTTTCCCCCTGAATCCCTGCTTTCCAGAATTACAATTCTCCTTGTAATAAACGCTTGTTTATTTGAACAATAAACCTTGACTTATTTTTAGGTCAATGGAACCAACTTGCTATGTGAATCCTGGCTCTCTCAGCAACCCCTCCGCAGAGAAAACTCCCCACCTTTCCACCCTCATCTAAGAAAAGACCCAAGGTTGGATGCGGTGGGCAGAGCCCCAAAGGAGGGCCTGTCCTGACCCGCAGGCACGGGCACCGGAACCCAAGCCCAGAGGCTCGAGTTTCCGTGGGGGACTCTCCGCGGCGTGCACCTGCGCAAACGCAACTTCCTGCCCCACTCGGCGCCGAAAAGGCCTGTTCTAGCCGGGCTCTAGAGTTCCGCACGCCTACCTGGGTCAAGGTGTACCCCGTGGGCGCTGTGGGGAATCCCCGCGCGGCTGGACAGGCGTGGCCATGTGGCGTCTGCTGGCTCGCGCCAGTGCGCCCCTCCTGCGAGTGCCTTTATCAGGTCGGAAGTCTCCTTGCCTTTTTTCCTTCCCACCCTCAATCTTATATCCCCCGAACTCAAAGAAGGCTGTGCATATGGTCGCTGAAGCACAGGTAGGGGCTGCGCTGTGCTGCCGCCCCACCCACCATAAGATTAGTGCAGAAGAGTCGCAGCTGCTCATGGGGGTTGGCGCCCAGTCACCCCGGCTGGTCTCTTTTGGGGGTGGCGGGGGGCAGTGCCTGGGCTTGTGAGCCCACTTAGTGGAACCCGCGTCCCATCCCTCGAGACACTTCCGCCAGGAGTGTCTTTGGTTCAGAGAGTACCAGACCCTGGCCTTATCGCCTTCCTCGTTTAACTTGATTTGTCTTTGCAGATTCGTGGGCAGCCCCGCCTGCCAGTGCTGGCCTAAAGACGCTGCTCCCCGTGCCAGCTTTTGAAGGTGAGCGCTCGTTTGTCATTTTTATGTTTGTAAGCCTTTTTTCTCTGATGGAACCCAGCAGAGGGTGGGTGAAGAGGTGGGAGTGTTCTGTGCTTTCTATCCCCATTCACTTATTCAGTAAAGTATGTATTGAAGACATACTATGTGCTGAGCAATGTTCTAAACACTAGATATAAAGAACAAAAGAGACCCCAAAAAGTCCTTGCTTTTAGGGAGCGAATGTGTAATGGGCTAGCTCCCCTATGGCCTATCACTGGTGTGTGGCCCGCGGTCCACCCTCAGCGCGGGCTAATTGGCCTCAAATTGACTTTTGATGTTCTCTCCAAATGTTACATATATGCAGTCATTTAACGCTATTACTTGAAAAGCATTAATTTGTTAAACAAACATTTAAAGTAGGCCAGTTTTGTAGCTCTAATACACCATTTCCTTTTTTTTTTTTTTTAATATTGGAAATCTCAAAAAATGAAACAGGGCTGGACTTCCGAGAGCCTTATCTTCACACATAACTGTTAAACTACTACATGCTCCTGGAGTATATACGGACCGTAGACCAGAGGAAGCATTACATTACTAAGTTTCTCTGTAGCTGCATATAGATGGGGGTGGGGCCAGTTTCTGTAACACTGACTAGCCCATAAATTGATATTTCTCTGACGTCTCCTGTTTTGTATCTGACTCCATCGTAGAGCCATGCTTGTTTTATTATAGAAATGTCTTAAATGACATACCAGTTAATAATTTTTTTCCCAAATTGTCAAAATGTCAGACATGTTAAAGATATAGTGTGTCTGACCTGCATTTCAGCCCGCCCACCCTCACCTAGCAAGCTGTCGCATGTTGTAGGATATATGAAGGTCTCAGCTGAAAAGCCCCTGCATAGGTAAAGAGCACTGGTCAAGGGAGTCCTAGGTTGTAAGTTTCCCAACAAGAATGTGGCTGAGCAGCAGAACATATTTTCATGTACGATATAGTATTCTTCCCACCACCCCCACTGACATCCAGAGAAGCAGTGTAGTTTTGTTTAAGTGTCATACTGTCTGGCTTTGCTGTTTTAACTGCATGGCCAAGACCAAGTTATACAATGTCTCTAGGCCTCAAGTTCCTCGTCTATGAAATGGAGGTTAAAAATAACACCTGCCTCGTGTTGTTTCTTGATCTGGGTGATAGTTATGTGGGCCTGTTTATGTATTCACTTTGTGATAATTCTTGAGCCGTTCACTGTTTATTTGGCCCTTTAATATAGATAAAACTTTTAAAAGTTTAAAATTTTAAAGAAAGGAAGCCCTAAATGCCAAGGCTATAATGTTGTTTTAAAGATTAAATGAGCTGATTCGTGTAAAACATTCAGCTCAATTCTAGCAGTCAGTAGACATTCCCCCTGCCCCCCCAAAAAAATGTTAGTGTTATTCTATGACAGTCTTATATCTCTACCATCCAAAAGGTCCCTTTTATAGTGTTAAGCACAGAGCAGGCATTTAATAAATGCATTTTGGTTTGAAGATTAAAATTTTGCTACCTTCAAAGGTTCAAAAACATTTGCATTAACTATTGTCATAGCCAAAGGATTCCACTGTCAATAAAAGCATCAACAGGAAAAACCTAACATACTTTTGGAACTATTATTCAGTGGTAACTTTTATTTAAGACTTTTACCTGATTGCTACAAATCTTTCTAGGAACAAAATGGATCCTTTGAGATGTGTAGTTTCACTTATTCTTGGTTGTCTGTTCTCCTTTTAGATGTTTCCATTCCCGAAAGGCCCAAGCTTAGATTTGTTGAAAGGGTACCACTTGTGCCCAAAGTGAGAAGAGAACATAAAAACTTGAATGACATACGGGGACCTTCCACTGAAGCCACTGAGTTCACACAGGGCAGTTTTGCAATCTTGGTGAGTTTGTTCAATGTCGAGCAGCAACAGGATAGATGCCGAGGAGTAACATGATCTCATAGTCCGAATTCTAGTCTACTCCTTTACAGGTTTTATTAAAACTGCCACCAGTTCTCTTTAAACCAATGTGCAATACTCAGTAAGCATTTGAGTTATGTGGGTTTTTTTTAATGTAAAGTGAATAATGTAAAAACAGAGGAAGAGGCTACCTAATTTACCCCATAATTGGACTGTGAGATCTTCTCAGGCCTCTGGAACAATAAAAATATCCACTGCTTAGGATGTGGGACGGCTATTTCCTTACTCATCAGTTAGCTTCCACCAAGACTTGATGTCAGTAGCTACACAGGACTAGGATCGAGTTCCCATCAGGCACTAGGGCGATGTTTTAAAGTCCTTTTCCCTCAGCCTGCATGGCCAGCCCCTGCCTGCCTCTCAGAACCTGATGTCCACTCCCCGTCCCTCTACTCCAGCCGCACCATGGGACACACCGCGGGACTGCTGCTCAGACTCCCCAGGCCGCCACTTACGCCATTCCTCTGCCTGGAACACTTGTTTTTCCTCTAATTCTTACTGTTCTGGCCTCAGCTTTAAACGTCACCTCAGAGAGGCCTTCCCTGTCTATTCATTGATATCGGCTCCACCCTTGTTCTCATTTATTACTCTACTCTAGGCTTTTCCTCCATGGTACTTATTAGAACTCATTTTTATCTTCACGCATATAGTTGGTCTAAATCCTCACGTTTCTAATTCTTCCGTTCACTTTTAGGCACTGGGTGGTGGTTATCTTCACTGGGGCCATTTTGAAATGATGCGCCTGACAATCAACCGCTCTATGGACCCCAAGAACATGTTTGCCTTGTGGCGAGTACCAGCCCCTTTCAAGCCCATCACCCGCAAGGGTATGGGACAGCGCATGGGGGGAGGCAAAGGAGCCATCGATCACTACGTGACTCCCGTGAGGGCTGGCCGCCTCATAGTAGAGATGGGTGGACGTTGTGAATTCAAAGAGGTCCAAGGTTTCCTCGACCAGGTTGCCCACAAGTTGCCATTCCCGGCAAAGGCCGTGAGCCGTGAGACTCTAGAAAAGATGCGGAAAGATCAAGAGGAACGAGAACGTAACAACCAGAACCCCTGGACCTTTGAGCGCATAGCCACTGCCAACATGCTGGGGATACGGAAAGTGCTGAGCCCGTATGACCTGACCCAGAAGGGGCGGTACTGGGGCAAGTTCTACATGCCCAAACGTGTGTAGTGAGAGCGTGAGGACTAAACGCACACAGGCTGTTGAAAGAAGCAATCTCCATTTTTGTTGCCACGGCCCACCATGAAAATCTGGGTAGCTCAGGTCGCAGTCGAGGAGCAGCGTATGATACTGCAGACGATTTCTGAAAAATTATATGATCTCTCGATTTTTAATTGTATTGTATTTATATTAAATAAAGTCTGAGTTTCACCTCAGGATATAAGTTCTCATTGGTCACTCTTAATCCCTTAAATGATTAAGTAACAGCCCAGATTGATTCGGGAGCTGTGGTCCTCCTTGGCTACAAGATGAATGCCTTCAGAGCTGAAGCAGATGCTTACATCTCCCACCTTCGAGATGCAAGCCGGACTTAATATCTGTACTGCCTTTGATGTGCACACACTTCAGGAGCTAGTTTCTATGACATTTTGCGAGTTACAAATACAAACTAATGTTTTCGAGAAAGCAAAGGAAAAAATGACAGTACATAAGTTAATTCAACAGACATTTATTTATGCCCAGCTACCCATCTTCTCTGTCTTGGAAGGGGGGATGATGGACAACATGCCAAGGAACATACCCTTGCCTTTTAGCAAAAGGGACTGATTAAAACAAAAGTTGAAATTCTTTGAGGAAGAAGCGTCTGGCTATGTCCCTCAGGTTCTAGTACAGTGCAGTGTGTCGCACGGCACTCACGTGGGTATTGTTGGGTAAATGAGGGCCCCAGGGCTCCAGCTCCCTGTTCGCCTATAACGAGATCAATCTATTTTTCAGAGCTAGCACACAGTACTTTTCTGTCCCTTGTTCAAACTAAAGGAAATACAAATGGATAGAAATATTAAACCATTTGCTTTTGAAAGTGGGTAAAGAGCAGTTCACTGACTAAAATGTCAATTTTTTTTATCCCACTTAAAAAGTAAAATTGCCAGCAAACAATTTACTTTCAAGAGTATAAATTTATCTAAACAGATGATCCTCAAAAGTCATATTTTTAATGAACCTCTTGTAATATAACTCATCACTAAGTTGCATTAGAGCAAGTCTGAACCTTGAATTGGGGACAGTGTTTAAAATAGTTTCTTCTACACACATTGCTGGCCAATAAAGTCGGTTTCAGCTAGCAACATGACTCAGGTAAGTGAAGTGAGCAACAGCCTCCTTTCACCTAAACAAACACTGGGGACACAGCAGTGAGCAAGACATACATGGTGCCTGTCAGACACTCTTCACTTTAAGACTAGTGGACCCAGAAGAAGGAAGAAGAGGTAGGGCTGGTCAAAGGTGAGACCTAGAACCTGCAGAGAAGAAGTAACCCAGACCCGGAAGTGCCCGGACCCTGATCAACTCAGTTAAAACAAGATCCCAGTGAACTGAGTACGCTACAGTATCTGCCTTTCTCTCCTAAACGAGTACTTTCTTCTCTCTCCTTCATTTAATTCCTTTAAACCATCTTCCTGACCAGCTACATCTTTCTGTACTCCCTGTCCCTTCACCCCTGCCCACCTCCCAATTCTATATTGTCACAAGTCTCCCTTTGCATAGCTTTCAGGGGGTAGTTTATTGCTGCCCTGGGTCATACGAGGTTTCGTAGTGGAAAGAGGAGTAGCCGCTGAGGAATCTGTAGTGAAGTGATGGCACCACGGAGGTGGAAGGATTAAAAATGCCAGGCGAGGATCCATCTGCGAAGGCTGAAGGAGGTAACAGACAAATGGAGGGAGAAAAAAAGATGATACAGCAGGATGTTTGAGGTCAGGATTACTAAACCCTCCGCTGCGGGGGTCAGGGACAACTCACGAGGCTACGTTAATTTGTCCTAACTTTGTGAAGGAGAAAATTTTTATCAGGTTTACTGTGTGGCCCTGCTCCCAAGAGTTCGGGGGTGCTTCGAATGCAAGAACGAATTCTTTATCCTTTCGCCATTCCCAGATGACGAGGCCCAAATTTTGCTGCGAGAGATCAACACCCTTATACAAAGCGTTCTGAACAAAGCATTTGCCACCAAACCTGGCATGGAACAGATTGGCGCCTTTTGTCTCTTTACCTACTACTGACTAACTCATTCTTCCACTGTTCTCACTATGAAACATCTCTCTGTTTTCTCCAACCTTTATCTAATCCCACCCAGATCGGGGCACCTGGTGACAAACAATGCCCTCAGGACGCGCGAGTTTCAGGTGAGTGAAAGCAGGCCCGACCCTCCCCACCCCAAGCCCCCCTCCCCCCAGCCACAGATGGCTCACCTTTTTCAGGCAAATATGCCCCCAATGGTAGAAGCTAAGATGATCGCAAGGATAACACAGCAGATCATGATCATGATCTTCTTCTGCTCATCCCGACAAGGAAAGAAAAAGCACGTGAGAAACAGCAGCGCTGTGCAGAGTTCGAAGGAAAGGACACACAAACGTGGGTCTGGACGTGGAAGAGGATACGAAGGGAAGTGGAGATGGATCTGGCTTCCGGAACCCAGAATGTTAAGAGAAATGTCACTTCTAGGCGGGAGAGTCAAAGCTAGACCGACAGCTATCTCGGAGGATGTTTGCCATGTCCTTCGGCCTGCCGGGTACAGTTATGACAGACTTACCCCCTTTCCTCCTAGAGCTAGTATTCTCAATGACTGGATCGAATTCCTTTGGGGGCAGCACCTCAGCTCTGAAACTCACTCAAATACAGCTACAGTGTATCCTTTGAGAGTTAGACCATTTTCGAAAATTAGAACTTCTGATCCATCGGATCGAGCACATGTTTAAAAAAGATTTTAACCCCTTTCCAAAACCTTAACAAAAACCACCACACGGTGGCACCCAGTCATCCAATGTTCTGCAGGGAAACCGAGCCAGAACTGTTTCACAATCGATATAAAGTCATTTATTTTTAAATAGCAATAAAATAATCAAGTTTACATTTCTAAAAATACAACAACAAAAAAATACCCTTCACTTATTGTATTCCAAACCTCAATCTTGGGAGAGCAAAAGCCTATGATCAGAGCTTGTCTGGCCTTGCTGCTGGAGCCAGTCCACAGTCAACTTCATAGCCATGGGTATGAGGGGATTCCCCTTGGCTCTGTCTGAGTGCTGGGCAATGATGGGGAGAAGTAGCTTTGCAAAGGACGCCGACGGGCAGCGCCTGGATCAGGGTGCTCACCCTATCTTAGAAAGCATAAAAATCAACGCTGAAATACTAATCAGGCAGACTGGCGGGGACTGGCAGGGAATCTAAGAGGCTCGCCACTGGGTCAGCACAGTCACCACATTTGAAAATTGATTGGCTGTTGCTTCCTCCATGACAAAAACTGGCGAGACAAAGAATCTGTCGAGCTCATTAACCTGGTAGAAGGAAGAGCCACTCAGTGGAACCTGGTGTCCCCCCACTGACTCAGCCTTGAAGACAGGCCATTTCAGAGGTCACACGACTACTATCAGATTGCTGGGGACATTCTCTGGACAAACCTGGCCTAGGCAGCAGGTGGGGGGAAGGGTTGTCAAACTTGTCACACCTCTGCTAAGCATAAAAAAAAAAACTTAATGAAGATCAATTTAGCCCCCACCCCAAAGATCTATGATTAATCCAGTTCTCATCTAGAAACAGCAGGCTTCTCGATGACATAGGAAGACCATATTTCTACTAGGATTCATTTGTAAGTAAGCAAATGTCTCTTACCTAATTTTTAGCCTAGCTCAAGGTTATTCTTTTGAGGTTAGAATATCCTCCACTTCTAGCATCCTGCTTCATGAGAGACACGTGCATATATGTGCATACATCTCACACACGATTATAAAGATTCATCTGGGACACGTGAAATGAGTGGCTGAATGCTTGCACCAGTCGGACACATTTCCAGAGCCTGAGATTCAAGCACCTTAGGTTGTCCCTGGCCCAGCTTTAAGTGACTGGTTATCTGGGGCCTCAAGCAATGCCTTCGTAAGACGTCACTCTAACAATGAGCAAACAGTTTCCAAGACTCAGCCATGAACATAAATATCCCATACCCTCAGCCTTTACAAACAGTAACCTCAGATGACTGTATCATGCTGGCGCATCCTTGAGTAAACACAGGAGAACACAACATAGACAAACATCGAAGTTGGCCACCAAGCTGAACGCACTATTAGCTTAATTAAAGGCTGAATTTCAAACAAGTCAGCTTTCCGAGACCAAAATGACATCTGCCAATCCCTCATTTTCAGGACGTGGGGACAACAAACTGTGAGGATTGGGACCCTGCCAAGTAGAAGACTCAGCTCTAAGCCTTCTTGTTGCCAAACTTGGAAGAATCCCTTTGTTTTGTTAAAGAATCCCCCCCACACACACCCCCTAAAAAAATACATTGCAATTTCTGGGAGAAGAATAGTCCATGAGGTAGAAAATACAGCACCTTGGGAAGGTCTCATATAGGCTTCCCTAGGTACAAGGCAAAATTCGACACTTCGGAGGGGAGAGAGAGGTGGGTTGGTTCAGCCCTTCAGGAGGAAAGGTACTTCAGAACTGGTGGAGCAGAGGTTTTGAGGAAAACTCAAGGCTGCATCAGGTAGACTGGATTCCTCCAGGGCTAGACGGTTTGCTGGGTCAGGTCCAAGGATGGCTACGAGGAAACCAAGGAACGGATCCCGCTCTCTCTCGGGAGGGCCGTTCGAACTCCATTCCCTTCTGAAGACAAGGGACCACAGCAGGCTGGAGTGAAATCGGGTTCTAAGGGAGGCAGGGGAGGAGGAGCTTATCAGTGCACAGGACGGTGGTGAAGAGCGACATCAAGAATCAGCCACAAACCTAGAAGGTGGAGAGGAAAGATCAGAAATATCGGAAAAAGAGAGAATAATGGGGAAGTCAGCACTAAACCTGAGAAATCCACTGGACGTACCCACAACAGGCCCTGGAATTAACCATCCCACTGTACAACAAAGTCCTGTCATGAGGGGGACACTTTCTGAAACCTCTGGGCCTTTTATAACTCTTCATATAGGCTGTCACAAACCCATGGAAGGACTGGTCAGTGGGGAGGCACGATCACTAGTTGACAACACCTGTTCCTCTCTCACGTCAGCACCTTGGAAATACATGCTTCAGAAGCATTCCGGTACTCAAATCTTCTCCATTACTCTCCCTACCTTC